GATATATGATTCATGTAGAAAGCCGATTTCGACTTCGGGTGTAACTTTTCTGAGCTACTCGCGAATAATTTTTCGATTTGCATTCAGTACTATTCCCTTCTTCTCCCCACTCATTCGTTTCCCAGCACCTCATCCAGTTACTCCTATTGCTTTCTGCCCAGCTTTGCTCTCACAGCCAGATGTTCCAGTCACAACCTCCTAAAGAAAATTTCTCCAGGAACCAAATGCTGGAGACGGTGGAGCTTACAAATGTACAGCGAAGAATCAGTTGGGCGAATCAAATGCCAATATCAACCTCAATTTTGCAGGTAATGGTCAGACATGTCACGGTAATATATAGTAATGTGAGTAACCCTACCTATTTGAGGAGGCGGAGGTGAAGAACCAAAGTCTAAAGGTCCGTCTTTCGTTGGTAAACCACGAATCATTCCAAAAGACGGTGGAGCCTTGATTGTGATGGAATGCAAAGTCAAGAGTCCCACTCCACCGACCGCAAAGTCAGTTTTCGATGCAAAAAACTTCGGTCGTTGAAAAAAATCCATTTTTTTCAGATGGATGAAAGATGGTGTACCGCTACAAATGGGTGGTCTTTACCATGCCATATTTACTGATCTAGGAGATCAAACTTATTTGTGCCAATTAGAAATTAGGGTAAGATAATCGGGTAACCCTTGGTAAATCGACTATGCCAAAATCGAATTTTATAGGGTCCGTCCGTTTCGGATGCTGGCCAGTATCGTTGTAATCTTCGTAACGAGCAAGGTGAGACGAATGCCAATCTCGCACTGAACTTTGAGGAACCCGAACCTAATGAGCGACAGGAAAAGAAGGTAACGCATTTTTTTTCACTTTTGACTTCTGAATTGAGATGCTCTTTTCCTCGATATGAGCCCCGTATGATTAGCTGCTCTCATTAATCGCTGATCTTTAAACGCAATAAAATAGCCGAGGAACCACATGCTCTCGTTTTTTTCACCCTCTATTTTCGGGAGTTATAGCCAGTACATCTGGTTAGCCTACTTCTGATGACCCTGAAATACATTACATGTGGTGTTATGGCAGCAGGTGATCATATAAAATCTCTTCAAGTGCAACTTTTA